ACCAATTCCTTTATGCTTGTGAAAATTGGATAAAATTAGATAAGACAAAAATTATAAGATGAAAACTCATTATAAAATCATTTTTTTGTAAGATTGTTTAACGAGAAGTGTTTTTTATTTTTTCAATTGGGGCTACAGTAGGGATGACAGATAAAAGATTGGAGTGAGAAAGATGAAAGAGAAAGGGTTGAGAGGAATGAGAGAGGTGAGTAAGGGTTTGGGGGTTTCTTTATATAAGGATATTTTTGTCTACTAAAACTCGGTACACATTGCTAAAATGTACCAACTGAAAAACAGGCGTACGCACGTTAGCAAACCCATATATATATATATAAAATAGTGGGATACAAATCTCATTTACAAGTCAGTTATGAGGTTGAATTATACTTAAAAGTCAAACGTTATATTTAACAACGTTATAATAATAACACCTATAGCAACTTTAATAGAACACGTGAAAATAAACGAGAGGTATCCATCTAGAATTGATAAGTAACTAATAGAACAATATTAGCAAAATTCAAAAATAGGAAATAAAAAGAGAGGCTTTTATACCCATTCCTAGGGCTCAAAGTTCAACCTCACTAATATTTTCAACAAGCCAACTTCAAAACATGCATCAATTTTTGTTACAAAAGATTATAATCCAAATCTCATATCATACTAAAATATATACTTTAAATTTAACTTAATTTAACAAAATCAATTTATAAAATAAAATTTACACTCGTATATAATCAATAACACATGTATTAATTATTTTACTCAACAACTCATCAAAGTTAAAAATTGCCACTTTAAAAAAAGACAAAATAACTTATGCAGCTCAAATTTTAATATATATATATATATATATATATATATATATATATATATAATGAATTTTCATGAAAAATATAGAAGAAATAAACATGAATATTGCAATATGAGCCAATTCAATGATAGAATACAATCTATTATTTTATATGATTAAGTTTTATTATATACTTTCAACCCTTCTAAAGCAAATGTGTCAGGCTGTGCAATAAAGATGAAAGGTCATTATAATTTTTTTATGATAAACCTGAATATATATTGTAAAATTAATTCATGTACCTACCACCAACCAAATGTAAATTGGTTTATCATAACGAAAACCTAACCATGGAGAAAATGAGAGTCATACCAATCACTGTAATCTTGTTCGTAAGTGTAGTGTGGTTGGAGAAGATGCTGGTGCTGCTAAAGCCATTAATCCTACAGAAGATGCTGCAGCAGATAAATTGAGTTACGTTATCTAATTAAAATTATTTTTCTAAAATCAATTTAGTAAAGATGGTAACGTGATTTATGTAAATTAAATAGAATGAAATCAAATAAAATATTAACATTTACTATTGAAAGTTTTAAAGCAACGTTGAAATTGAGTTCATAACTAATATTATAGTAACTTTTTGAACAATATATTATGCATTCAAACATTAACATCATTGTATCTTGGTTTAATTTCTTAAAACAAATTCTAAAGATATATGTTAAATTATAAATTCCTTAAATAATCCAACATATCCTTTGCATTAAAATCTGATGTTTATAAATGATCAGAAGAATTGAAACTATTCCTAGCATCATTCCTTTTGGTTACTTTTTTTACATTTATATTCAAAGTTACTTCTAAGTACTCATGAATATATAAATTACATCATACTTTCGTATAATGACAAGTAAATCAAGAAAAACATATGAACACAAAAATATATTGAACAGGAAGATTACATCAATAGGAAGTCATTACATTCAATTCCAATGAAAAAAAAATTTAGCTACTCTCTTGAATATATAAATTACATCATACTTCTGTATCATAACAAGTAAATCAAGAAAATATATGAACACAAAAATATATTGAACAAGAAGATTACATCAATGAGAAGTCATTACATTCAATTCCAATGAAAGAAAAGTTTAGTTATTCCTAATCATATTGAACGTACACATTTTAGTAAGTATCTTGATGTCTTGAAGTAGTCTCTTGAAATCCTGCAATGTTTTTTGTTTCTTTACTCTGTCAGAAGTTCCTTTCTTTTTTGTCTTCTCGAACTTAAAAGCCAATATATATTTAATTAATTCGCTCAGTGCACAGCTATGCGTACGCTGAGCAAATAATCTCCCTTGTAACTAAGCGCATTATTGATTAGCTTAGCGAGAAACCGATGACAATACTCTAAATGACGTATAAGTTATTGAAAATTGACTATACAACTTTTCTACTCACTAAATACAATGGATAAAACATATTATTTCATGAATAATTACAACTTTAAGCTAGTTATTAAGTGTGAAAACAAGTATTTTTCACAATTATCAATGGACAGAAAATAAATACCTAAAAAGAAAAAGAAAAAAATTTAATCAAATCAAAATATTTACTAACGAAATTTTTATTGTAATTACTAACAAATTTTTCTTGTAATTATTAAAGAATTTTTTTCTATAATTACTTACAAATTTTTCTGTTATTAATTACATATAAATATAAAATTCCATCGACAAATATTACGTACTACGATGAATTTTAGTTTATAAAAAATTCATTGATAAAAAATCATAACAGAACTATATTTAACAACGTTATAATAAAAACACCTATATAGCAAAGTTATAATAGTAACACGTGAAAAGAACAAAGAGTATCGATTTGGAATAGATAAATAACCAATAGAACCAACATTAGTAAAATTAAAAAATAGAAAAAAGGAGAGAGCTTTTCATACGTTCCTAGGGTTGAAAGTTCGACCTCAGTAATTATTTTTCTTCTTATCATGTTGTCAACAAGTAAACTTTAAAACAAGCAACAATTTTTATTTTTGTTAGAAAAAATTATAATTCGACTTTCATATAAAGTTTGCATCCACGGGACTTCCAAACTGTAGAAATTAATCTGAATTTTATAACTGTGTCTTTGACAATTAGTTTTATTTATCGTTTTCAATTTATATACACTGATTGTATTCATTCATCTTTAATGAAAAAAATACCTCAGTTTCTCAATCCTCTGCTTCTCTGCATAATAACATAACACCAACACATTTATTAATTATTTCACTCAACCCATCAAAGGTAAGAATTGCCTTTTTTAAAAAGACTAAATAATAACTTATATATATGAAATTCCATATAAAAATAGAAGAAATAAATATGAATATTGCGGTATGAGCCAATTCATTGATGGAATACAATCTATTATTTTATGTGATTAAGTTTTATTTTATATACTTCCAACTCTTGTAAAGCAAATGGGTCAGGTTGTGTAATAAAGATGAAAGGTCATTATAATTTTTTTATAATAAACATGAATATAGTTTCTATATTCTTCTATGTATATATATTGTAATATTCATACCCTTAAACACCAATCAAATGTAAATTGGTTTATCATAACGAAAACCAAATAATGGAGAGAATGAGAACCATACTAATCACTGCAATATTGTTCATGAGTGTAGTGGTTGCAGAAGATGCTGGTGCTGGTAAAGCCATCAATCCTATAGCAGATGCTGCAACCGATGAAAGCACTAATGTAGCTAAATACGTTGGTATCAGCTTGGCCAATGATCAAATACTTAGTGGACAAGCTCAAGCATACGAGTCTCCGAGGTTCAAGAGGTTTGTGACACATTGCAGCTCACGTGTTGCTGAAACATGCAGTGGAAATGATCCAATGCAAAAAGGAGGTGGAATCAATGGCCAATTAGGGTTGTCTCAATGCCTTTTTGATTCCATGGAAGCATGCTTGGTAGATCACAAGGCCTCACTTTATCAAACAACTTCTTCCTATAAACCTAAACAGTCAATTCAATATTTGACAGAGCTCATTCAGACTGTAAAATTTCAAACCGTCTTGAGAACATGCTCTCAATCCACTGCACAAAGTTGTTTGACTGGTTATAATGTTGATGCATCAGCTTTATCAGCTTGTCTTGTACCATCTTTGAATCAGTGTGTGTATCCTACTCTATGGTGGCCATTTCCACCAGCACCGCCACCACCACCACCACCACCACCAAAACCACTACCACCACCTTGTATGACTTCTTCTGTAACTTATATCTTTATTCTCTTAAACTCTATTTTTCAAGAAAATCATATAGGATTTGAGGAATAGAATTAATATTTGTGCATTCTAATAAACTCATTTTATATTACAAGTTTAATTAATTATCAACATGTGGTTGCAGCAGTTCCTACTCAAGTTGATCAAGTTGATCAAGTTGAGCCTCCTGGTATGACTTCTTCTTTCACCTTCTGTACTATCGTATACTCTATTTTTCAAGAAAATCTAACGAATATAATTAATATTTGTGCATTCTGTTAACAGACTTATTTTTATATTAGAAGCTTGATTAATTAACATCATGTGGTTGGTGCAGATGACGGGAGATAAATGTACTTGCGTTGCATTTTATACTAATACAGCAATAATTGCAATGCATTATAGATTATCCTATATATGTAAGGAATAATCTCTTCATCTCTTTGCAAACATTGTTTCTACTCGTTGCTTTGTGGGGAAGGATCTGTTGTACCTTCAGTGTTAGTGTTCTAATTAGCTATATCACTGCAGTCCATCTGTAATAAAATCATTGAAGAATGCTATGATATATCATAATGACGTTCCTACTATTTTGTATCAAGTGTTGAATAAACTTGTATGTGGATGTTACTAAAAAACGTAACTCTATTCTTTCTATCCAATGATTCAAAATGTATTATAAAATAGGTATTACTTTCATTTTTAAAAATCACAACTTAACGAGCGAGGGTTGTAACACAAGTTCAATGAATTTTTAAGTGTGGTTCAATTTCTAGTGTAAGAAAAATACCCTGCCTAATGTCCAATTTTTAAGTGTGGTTCAATTTCCACTTTTAGTTAATTTTGTGTTATTTTGAAAATTGTGTTTGGTTGATCCTTTATATTTTGTTTTTTATAGTGATGGTTCAAAGTGTATATTTTAGATAACGTCTTCTTTATTGGGAGTAATTTATCGAAATTAATTAATTATTTTTTTTTTGTTGGTCAAGAAAATGAATAAACGGCCTAATAGGAAGTACCCTTTGCAAAACATATTTTATTTGGACAAATTGAGCAAACAAAATTAAATAATTTTTGTGGGTTTAAAATTATGAATGCATTTAATAGAATAATATAAAATTAAGAAACAAATAAAATAATGATATTTTTTTATTTACGTTTTACAAAAGTTATTTTCGCTTTATGTCAAATATTTTACCGATAAATATCATATTTCTTTTATTAAACAATTTAATGATCATTAAATTATTTAATGTAGTAAGTAACCAAGTATTTTATTTGATAACATTTATCTCGACCAATCAAACAATCTTCAAACAAAAAACCCCTCACAATAAACAACCGTGACGAACAAATGTTAAAATATAACTTAAAATTATATAAAATGTCCATGAATATATTCATACATTAACTATTACTCCAGAAAAAAAAACGATTTCCTTGTCATTTACTTAGAACATTATCATTTACACAGACCCTTTTCATAATATATTTTTTTAGTTTCCACGGAAATATATTTTAGAAACATTTTATCAATTTTAACACAAATTACCCATTTAATTACAATAATACTCTAAGTTTTAAAAATATCATTAAGAGGAGTACACATACGGTTGAAATACAAGCGATTCTCACACCATGAAAAGGGTCATTGTCCAACTGTCTCGCTAAAAATCCATCTAAACACACCCTAAGGCAATTGACACAGATTGATAAATTCATAGAAATTAGATCACTAGATGAACCCCTTCATCTCAACAAAGAATTGATACATAAAACCCACCAAAAATGAAATTAAGAAATGCCTATTTATAGAGAAAAGAAACAAGGAACTTTGTTCAATATTGCAGGTCAGTCTAAAAGGACGTGTCCTCTACCTCGCGACAATAAAATTGCAAATTCCTAAGCAGTACATTTCTTCAACAGATTCAAGCGTAATTTTTAGGGAATTTATGCGTTTTGCTCTTCAGCATCGCCATTTTCACCGTCTTCAGCAGCAGCAGCAGCAGCCGCCGCCATCAATTCATCGAAGTTTGCTGTTTTCCCAAGTACTATTTCAATCTAAAACACGAGTCATCAAATGCAAAAACTTAGGCTAGTTGTAAAGCAGATTCCAAAGCTATGGGTAGCAAGTAAACTGTTAGACGATGATATGAAATCACACGCACATGATCATACACATCAACATAAAATTCTAGAGTAAACATGTGTTTACAGACTTACCTTGGCCTTTTGAACAGGTCTACCTCTGGAATCGTCCTTTATGTCAACAGTTGATGTCGTGATTTCTGCATGAAGATTGCGTCATTAACAAATTAGATTACATTATTTATCCACTGAAGAATAGGATAGATGTACGAGAGGGGAAAGGGATTTCACAGAAAATAAATGGGAAAAAATTGAATCTCACTCTTCTCCACAGCAAGTCCGTTGTTTTTCAAAATTTCAGCAACAGTTACCACTGTGGCAATAGCTGCAATAACCAAAAAAGGGGTTGAAAATTCGGAAATCATATTAAGATTGGAATCAAGGAAAGAGAATAGGAAAAAGAGAGGTACAAAAGTCGCGTAAAAAATCAGTGCACTGTAATAAAGTTCTACAAAATAAGGAAACAACATGACAGCCACTTAAAAATACTGCTGTCTCAATTATAAAATTTTAGAAGTTATTGCAAATATACTTATCAGACTGTTGCAACAGTTTTCTCCCAGTATTTATATCTTCTACACAAATGAAATAACAGATGATGAAAGACAATGGCACATTATAGGAGAGCATAGCAGCTATTTGTGTGATATATCAATGTTACTAAGATATATGCTTCAAAAACCAAGTTGATCGTTTAGGTATATTCTTTGGGTAAATTTGTGATTTCTCTCTAATTTTCTATGAATTTTTTGCTACGAGAATATACTAGCTTTCGAAAACCTTCTGCCTTGAACATTACACGTTACAAGACTACATTTTTTTCTGTTCCTTCACACTTTAGCAGTCTATTGTTTTATATAATTCGCTAAACTTTTTCCTGTTAATTTTATCACCAACTTTCATTTTTCGACTTCATTACTCCACTCTTATTCCTCCTAGATTGACATTGATTGCATGTGTAAACTCTAAATTATTATATATCATTAACTTCTGAGTTTTTAGTACTTATATTTCTAATATTAATAGGTTTGATTTATAATGGTAATAGTATCTTCATAGAATTTTCAACTTACAATTTACCCGTACACGCCATTTCTCATATATATGTAATGGATTACACTTCAAACCCACACTAGAAGAAATGCCCGTGTGCAGATCTTCACAAAGAGTCAAGGAGAAAACTCTAATTACAGGACCTCACAAATACATCTACATCAAAATTTAGTTTATCTGATTTGACAGAGTCACATTATACACGCTTCAGTTCTTACTCCTAGAACAGCTCAAGGATACAATGGGATCAGCAAAGCAAAAATATGGGCTACCAACCTCCGACTGATTATGTGGAATTTCATGAGGAATCAGAGCATAGGAGGCCAGTGATGTGATGCTTTAAACTGAGCATAAGTGCATATATAGAAGGTTTAACACCAGAATCACAGTAGAGAAAGTTTAATTCAGAGGAAAATATGAAAGGGCTTCAATCAAAGTCCAAGACTGAAGGCGTTCAAAAGTTCAGGGCATGCAGGGGTAACCAATGAAACCTAAACAAATTATATATATGTTCACAAGAGTAATTTTCTGTTCAACAAAATTTGAAATGCAATCATTCTTAAGTTTATTAAAATTCCCAATAGAACAGAGCTATATTTAGCAAAGTTTTAATAATAACACCTGAGTGAACACAGATCATTGATTCCACATTGATAATCGACAAGTAACCAATAGAACCAACACCAGCAAAATTCAAGTAATAAAACTCAAAAACAGAGACAAGGAGAGGGGTTTCAATACCCATTCCTAGAGCTGAAAGTTCGACCTCGTTATGCTGTTGCATGTATCTCTGCAGATTCACAAAAATCCAAATGAGGAGATAAATAAAAAATAAAACACTGAGAAGCTTCAAAATCGAAAATACAGAGACATGTCGTGATACTACCTTGGCGAGATTAACATAGAAGAATAGGGGTTTCTTGGTGTTAGAGACCTGAATACGATTCTTCTTGTAGGAATCGGTAATGTTGATGTTGTTCACTCCCTCTGTTATGCTTTCCATTGCTCTCTTTCTCACTCACACTCTCCCACGAAGATGCTAACAACCAAAAACCCTAAGGATTTGTTTATGAAATGTGATTGAGAAATGCAGAATCCGAACCCCTAGCACAGGATGTACTCCTTTCTTACTTCCAAGGGCCTGGGCCTGGGCCCAACATTATATTCACACTGCACAGTTCCAACTAAATCACACTCAGCCAAGCCCATGAGTATGAATGCAACAGTAATAGTAATAATGAACATTGACATTTTCAATGAACGATTATTTTATATATATTGATGGGAAGACTTTCATTTTTGTGCAGATCATTAGTAGGGATGAAACCAGTGTAAGAGAATTATATTCTTTTTTCTATATTTTGACTTAATTAATTAATCTAGTTCAATTTAATATGTTAGGTTGAGTTAGATTAAATTTAACATAAAATATGCATAAATTCAACCCGATCCTATATTTTTTAATGGGTTGAATAATTAATTTATCCAAATCTTATATAACTTAATCCGGAAACATTTCTACTTTAAATTTATTTATATAAATTAAAATTGAATGATAAAATCATTCATTATAATTATTATTACTTATTTAAAATTAAAAAATATAATTAAATAAAACAATAGATATGAGTATTATTTTAACAAAAGCAAATAAGATTTTTGTTTCTCATCCAAGGGACAATTTCTTGCCCAAACAAGATGCATCTTTTGTATAAGTGATACAATCTCACTCAAGCGAGAAAAATTTCATCGAAGCAAAAAACCCTCACCCGAGTGTCTTATATTTCTATACTTTTTTTCATTTTTAATTTTATCCTTTTATTATTTCCTCTTAAATTTAGTTTGTTTTTATTTATTATAATAAAATTATTTAACCAATAATATATATTTATTAATAATACAAATTCTTTACATTGTCATGTAAAAAATTGTTTCTCTAACTAATTATTTCACTATTTTATCCATTTGATTTCTTATTAAATTGATTTAATGTAAAAATATAAATATAATCTAACTCTATCATTTAATATCTAATAAAGTATTATTTTAATTCATAAATAACACTGTTACTTTTTCACAATTAAAATTTTCTGCCAATTTCTAAAACCTGAATTATGTCTGAAGTTCAAATTATATTGTTAATCAATTTAGTTCATTATTTATATCTTTAAAATTTATTTTAAAAATTAGTTGATTTTTAAAATAAATAAATAAATACTTATTTTACTCTGTGTCATTATATACATTTTAATCATTTTTTAATATATTTATTATTAAAAAAGTATTTTATATTTAAAGTATTAATTTCTTTATACTATTTGTTTTCATTTTTAATTTCATTCTTTTACAAATTCTAATTATTTTATTATTTAATAAATTATTAAATAATAACTTATATTTAAAGTATTATTGTTTTTATACTATCTTCTTATTTTTAATTTTATTACTTTATACTAATTATCTTAAAATATACTAATGATGCATTTATGTTGTCATTAAATAAATTTATAAATATATATTATATAAGTATATTATTTAGATGAATCTAACTACATCCATTTAGATTATAGTATAACAAAACTATTAAATTAAAAAAATTATATTTATAGTATTAATTTTTTTCTATACTATTTTTTTTATTTTTTATTTTTTATTTTTTATTTTATCTTTTTATGATTTCTATATCATTTAGTAAAATAAAATTTAGAAAAATATTTTTTTTAAATAATATTATTTAAAAATAATATATATTTATTGATAATATAAATTATTTATGTCTCGTATAAAAAATTGTCATATAATAATTTTTGTTTTACAAAAATTCTCAAATAAAATTACATTTATTTTTTTATATTAAACTATAAATTGAATATAACTTTTAAACAGGAGAAACACTTCGAGATCATGTGTACTCATTATTCAACTTTCATTAAAAAATGAAAAAGTCACTGTAATTGAGTTCTTGCTTAATCCATATAAGAAGTATTAGAGATAATAAAGTATACCACAAACGAAACATATTGTATTAGTAATGTTGACCAAGTACTAATTTATTATTATCGCCCACAGAATACACTGGTTTCGTTATATAATATATATATATATATATATATATATATATATATATATATATATATATATATATATATATATATATATATATATATATATATATATATATATATATATATATATATATATATATATATAACTCAGTTTTATAAAAATCAAAATAATTTAAGTTGTTTTAAACATAATATTTTTTCTTTAATAAAATACATCTTGTATTATCTATTATTTATTATCTTTTTTTTTTCTGTTGTGAATACTGTTTACTGTTATTATAATACCCAACAAGGAACATCTACTTGTATGAAATTGAAAATCACAAGCAACATATAGAAAATGGGATGATTGCGTGAATGAACAACAAAATTAAAATTAAAAAATGAAAAATCACGATTTTATTAAGTAATTAAAGCGATTATGTTATTTGTTTAAAAATAATTTAACATGTTTTTTTTAATACGAGAGAAAATGTTTTTTTTTTCATAAAATGAGGAAAATCTGCAAGAAATAATGGAGACATATGATAATTCAGACACAATGCATGGATGCTAACTAATGAAAGCAATAGCTACCTAGTGTTATTAGAAAAATCTTGAAGGAGCTATTTAAAACAAGAAAAATGACGTGGAGGAAATAGAAAGTTTTTTTTTTCTTTCTCTAGAACAATATTTTTTACTGTAATACATACATGGAAATAGAAAAGATGAGAAATAAATAGAAAATATGATAAAAACTAACTAATTGACCACGTGTATTTTCTAAGAAAACAAAATTATTATTTTGAATCCTATCTAAAAATAGATCAATATTATTTAGAAATTATTAAAAAAAATCGATAAAAAAAATTGGGTTAAAATAACATTTTTAACTTAGAAATTTGAATTAATCTGATTTTCTCAGGTCAATCTAATTTGATCCGTTTTTATACACAAATGTTAAAGCTAAATTTAAACAGATCGAATTGACACGATTTATCACTCTTTCATATTGTTAATCAAGAAGTTAAGTTCATATTATTTTAAAAATTTAATAGTAGAAGTTAATTTTAATAATGAAATATTGAAGAAATGTGTTGTTACAAATACATCCTTTTTTCACTAAAGTACTCATTCCGACTTTTTTTCCGTTTTTATCTGTGAAACTATATTATCGTCACTCTACATCAAAAGTAAAAAAATTGAAGATATTTCATCCACCTCACATGCTTCCATCAATATTTTGGTAAGAACATTAGGTTTGATGAAAAACATTGTATGTGACCAAATGTGAAAAATGTCATTCATTAATCTTTTTATATTGTGACATGGTTTTGTTCTTTTGAGTGGATTTGAGAGAGTAAATTTAAAGGGATTTGAAGGTAATTTTTTTTGTCGTTTATTTGAGTGAATTTGGAGATAAATGAGAGTGAATTTGAAAATAAAATTTGTGAGAATTAGTATAGAATTGTATTGACGTGACAAATTAAAAAAATTTATTTCTAAATTCACTCTCACTTACCTCCAAATTTACTCAAATAAACGACAAAAAAATTTATCTTCAAATCTTCTCAAATCTCCTCAAATTCACTCCCTCAAATCCATTCAAAAGATGATCTTCTTCCAAAATATTAGGTTGGAGCTTAGAATATGTATCATAAAAGAAGAGTAGCAGAAAGAATATCAAAAGATATCAAACTTATGGAGGCCCTCTGGTTTAATTAATGCAGTACAAGTTGGTGACATTGTACAGTGCACATAATACGAAATCATGAATACTCAATCACTCAAAAATCAATCACATCTGATGATTCAATTCACAATGGATACTTTTGAAAGGTATTTGTGATCCTCAATTATACAACAATAAGTTATATTCCAAAATGGGAAATTTTGAAGTGTAAAGGATTTGGATAAGGGTCACTTAACAGGGAAACATACAATAAAAATCCATACAACTTTCAAGAAAATAAAAGTCTTTAATTTATTTATTTTTTCTTTTTAATTTCCTTAAAGGAGAAATTTTCTGTTTAAATTTATAATTTTAGTGTTTTAAAACTTTTAATTTCTTAATTTTGATACCATTATAAAATTATCAATAGATCACAAAATTTTATGTTTAAATTTATAAATTCAGTGTTTGAAAAAGTTTTGTTAATAAACAGTGTCTTTTCAGACAAATATTAGTCTATTAGTGTCCAAATAAACAATAATTTTTTAGAAATACTGTCTATTAATAGACAATAGACAATATTCTAATAAACCGTGTCTAAAAAGTATTTTTTATTAAAAAAATATTATCTATTCACAATTTTGTAATAATATAACTTCTAATAACAAACAAATTACATGAGTAATACTACTACGGATATCATAAAATCGAAATAATAACATGTATTACATAGAAATTAAATAAATTATCACGTAATTATAAATGCCAAAAAAAAAATCATATTCAGTCGACAAATAATTGTAGCTTGTGATAAGATACTTCTACATTATAATGGTGCAATTATATTCACTTTTATTTTCAGCATCATTGTTCTCATTTAGTTTCTCCCAATATTGGAATAAAGCTAATAAAATATATAAGTGACCTCCAAGATATAGCAGAAAAAATACATTAAAAGTTATTATTTTTTTATTATAGTATATTTATATGCATAACCAAGACAGTAGTAAATACTTTTCAAGTATGTTTCTTACTTCGTTATAAGATGTTTCATAAGTTTATGATAGCTAACAACTGAAATAAATTTTAGAATCTATAAATAATAAAAAAATTATAAATAAGTTATAAATGTTCATTTTTCTTTTATTAAAAAAATAAATTTCAAACTTTTGAAAAATTCAAGTGTTGCATATTGAAGTATTTGAAAATATACAAAAGTAGTGTTTTTAGGTAGACATTCTAACATTAAATCACGATTGATGGTGAAGTTATTTTTGTAGTTATTTCTATAAGGTGCTTGATTTTTTTTAAGGAGACATGAATATAAATATCACATACTGTATAGGTTCTTTGCAGATGAAATAGATAGAATGTAATTAAAAACTTGTATATGAAGAAATTGGTGAATAAGAATATTATTATTGTTTTTCTCTTTGTCATTTTCATGTTCGACTTTACATAATTTTGTTGCATAGTAATTTTCACATCTTAAAATTATATTTAAATACTATATATATATATATATATATATTTTTATATATATATATATATATATATATATATATATATATATATATATATATTTGTTATTTGACTGTTATTTTTATTTTAAGAGAGTCTTGTAAAGTAATCTCACATAGTTCATTTCCAAATCTTAGAATACGACTCATATCTCATCGATATACTCATAAGACAATTAAATTTCAATTTTATATACTTTATATCTATTTTCTAATATATTTTACTTCCCCCGTCTTGTTTATCTCTCAATATCATAAATAATTCTTTTTAAGTTTAAAAACATTTCATTTACACATTTTTACAAATTAAATATAGTTTAAAAAAATTTAAAAATGGTATCCTAATCTATTCTAATTACAATTATTATTAAAAATTAGATTGGTAGATAATGATTAAAACCATTGAGTAAGATGTATAAAATTTATAAGCGGAAATAATTCTTCAAAGCTTAAAAAAATATGCAAGAAATAACATTAGAAAATCATAATAATACTTACAAAATAAAACATCAATATTTTTAATATATAAAAACTCTTTAACATGATAAGTAAAAATTCTCAAGCAAGTCAATAGAGCTTCATTTATGGATAAAAAAAATCAAATAAAAAATTGTGTACAACAAGTCAAAAATTTGTTTTACGTCTTCTTTTTTTCTTTCAAGATGGTAAAAAAGAACTCTTTTAATTTAGAAGAATTATTTCTCCATTTAAATTAAGTGAAACAAATGGAATTAACTAATTTAGAATTTTTACACACTCAACCTGACAAATTTGATATAATTTTTTATTTAACTAAACATTTTAAATAATGCAAGGATATTTGAAAAGAAGTTAATGAACTAAGGCTATGGAACAACTTGTAATAAAAATTATTACACTGCTTTTATTGAATATAATATAATTGCTTATAAAGGTAAATAAAAAATAGAATTGGTTTTAATATTTGTGTAGTTGGATTTGAGCGGTGATTGGATAACGTGGAAACGATGTGTCAGAAAAAAAATCCCTCCGATGTGGCACTGATGTGGCTTGTCTTCTATATATAGCGGCCACCCATTTCGCCTCGGTAGGTGCACTTCCTCTCTTTTCTCTTCTGCCCCTTCATTTTCTCTCTTCTTTTCTCTATCTGGATTTGCATTTTCATCTCTTTCATTCGATGCTTCACGAAATGAAAGAAAGCGTGGAAAACCCTCTGCACCTAAAATCTGTCAACCATATCTCTCTCATCTGCACCTCCGTCGTAAAATCCATCAACTTCTATCAGAACATTCTCGGCTTCTTCCCCATCAGGAGGCCAGGATCATTGGATTTTGACGGAGCATGGTAATTCAATTCACTAAAATTTTCAAACTCTGATACCCCACCAAACAAATTTTCTCAGTTGAACAAAAATGTCAAAAAAACGAATCAAACTTTTTTATGTTATTTTCTTCTGGGATAAATATTCTCCTCACTCTGTTCCTTCTTGGTCATCGTTGTTCAGGCTATTCGGATATGGAATTGGAATTCACTTGCTTCAAGTAGAGGACCCCAGCAACATTCCAAGAAAGAAAGAAATTAATCCGAAAGATAATCACATATCATTCCAGGCAAGGTTTCGGTGTGAAATGAAATTTGTTTGATACAATAACTTGAAATTAATTGCAGTGTGTTTGACAAAATGACTGAACGAAAGGAAACTGACATGGTTTGTTTGGTTTTTGTGATGAATGAAAACAGTGTGAAAGCATGGGAGCAGTGGAGAAGAAGCTTGAGGAAATGGAGATAGAATACGCGCGTGTAACGTTGGAAGAAGGCGGGATCAAAGTGGATCAGTTGTTTTTTCATGACCCAGATGGTTTCATGATTGAGATATGCAACTGTGATATCCTTCCCGTGATTCCCTTAGCAAGTGACATGGTTAGGTCATGCTCTCGAATGAACCTTCAGATGCTTCAACAGAGACAGATACACCAAATTGGGAAACAGGACTCAGCTTTTCCTTCCGGCCACACCAAAATTCAAAATGCTTTTGTTTAGGTCACACATACATGTATAATTATGAACTCCTCCTTCTTCTTCTTCCTCATGTTATTATACTTTTTTTCTTGTTCTGTCAATTTTGTTTTCTCTGTAATATTGCTTAGTTTGAAGTGTAAACTGCTCCCTACACAACTTTTTTACTAGGTACTTTTTGTATCATTGGTTTTCTTAATGTGAAAAATGCTTTGTTTTCCATAAGCATTCTGTTATTGGATGTATCTCTTTGTTAATGTGAGTGAAAATAAAATTTAAATTTCTATACTCATATTACTTTATTTTTGTTTTAATTAATATTTTAATTTTCAAACTCCAAAACTAATTTGAAATAATATTGTTAATACGATATCTTAAACTATTTTGACGTATTTCATATTAATATTTAATTTGTTTATTCAGTTTAATATATTTTCACTTCAATATTAATTAAAAAATATATTTAACATATAACTAAATTAAAAGAATTATATTTATTTATTTTTAAATTTTACTAATCAAATTATATAAAGTTTCATACATAAATAAATTTTAATTTTACATTAAAGTTCACCAACTAAAACCATATTTAATTCATTTAAAATTAATATTTTAATTCAAAACTTATAAATATGGCAGCAAACTAGGAAACCATATGGTTAACCAATTAAGCACGTAAAGAAACCAGGTCGTACAAATTTTCAGAAGTTTTTTAGGTTTGACCCATTTCATTTTATTAAGAAGTATTCCTGATGAAGTCATGAAGCATGCATGTTGTATATATTACTTTCTTTACACTAGTTTATTACCTTTATCAATCAATTGAATGCTAAATTTAATAAATTTTATAATAGTCATTTTTAAAGTTATATTAAAAATATGTTAAATTTTTTATATTAAATTAACTATTTTAATTCCATAAATACCATAATCATAACTTGATACGGAAAACTAGAGTTTTTCTTGATCTTTATATGTTTAATTAAGTTTTACATTCGTAATAAATTTAAATATTTTTAATTAATTTTTTACTTTTAATTTATCCATATTTTTATATTTTTTTAATTGAATTTTTCATTGGATAATATAACAATTATTTTATCTCCTCATATTTGTCTTCCTATATTGAAAATGTGGGATTAGATATGGTTCACAAATTATTTTATATTAATCCAAAATATTTATGTTTTAAAAAAATACAAAAAAATTGAAACATATGAATTTTTAAAAAACTTAATATATTGAAAAAAACAAAAAAAAAACTAAGAATATCAAAATTTATGAGATTTGAAACTTAATTAACCTTTTTTACATATGAAAAGTGAAATATTTTTAATATTTAATTACAAGTTACCCTGATAGTTAATTTCAAATTATCTTTATATATACATATTTGATTTTTTTTCTAATTCTACATTTCCCTCGTTGTATTATATTTTTTGCAGTAAAAAGTCCATTCTCTTGTGTATCTACATCAAATAAATTATTCAATAATTTAATAAAAAAATATTATCAATTAAAAAATTATATATGACAAACTAATTATTTATTACAAATCTTATTTATATAAAAAAATTCATTTACATTGCACACACTTTTCTATATATATATATATATATATATATACATATATATATATATATATATATATATATATATTCAGATTAGAGTTGATAGAAAAAAAATATTTAAGAGATAGAAATACAGTATTAATACCTTTTCATATAGATATTCATGTACTTTTATTTTAATTATTTTTATTTCCTTTCACCTAATTTATATTATATTATACCTTGTCCACAAAATTATGTCTCAACATGTACTCTTACTTAAACAAACGTTATCATTGTGCCATAAATGTCAATTCATTTCATTTATTTTTATTTATTTTTATGAAGATAAGTCTAATATGTGTTTTGGTGTTGTGAGTGAACAAATAAATAATATTTTCTAACACTCTCTTGTTATTTGTTTCATTTAAAAAAAAAATACTTTTTTAATTATGTTGAAGTGAAAAAATAAATTATAAATTTTGATTAAACAATCCAAATATTATTAATAAGTTTGGGGAGAAAACAATAATAAAGAAACATAAAAAAAATAATATAGAAAATAGGGATTGATTGAGAAACTAAAATGAGAGAGATAAGAAATAGAAATAGAAATTGAGATGCAATAAGCATGAGAGTTACTGATTGAAGACATGGTGACTCAGCGCCAGCAATCAAACACAAAAGCTGAATTTGATGTCAATTCTGTTTCGTCACCATTTTTTATGTAAAAAATTATAAAATGATTCAATTATTTATTCATTCCTGCTTAATTTATTGCTGTCAGCCTCGTCAAACTTTAATATAAATTAGAACTTTAATTCATATTATTTGCATTATATATATATATATATATATATATATATATTTAATGTTTTGGCTTTTATACTTCTTGTTTTGGTACGTAGGGACTGAGTTGTCCAATGCCTCCAAGTGCGTCTCTTTTTGTCTCTCGAACGTCCGGTTCTCGCTCTACTCCTTGATTTCTTCCTTCCTCTGTGCGCGGGTGGGAGACCTGCGAAAGATTCTCCGATACCAAAGTCAGTCTGAGAACAATGGCGTATTTTGCTATGAGTTTGGGATCAGTGAAAAGTTAATCACCGCCCAAATTCAACCCAATAGCTTTTAATCACAACTTACCTTAAACCTGGTTAATTAGCGGCATGACCGACCGATCTCCCAAAGTTTGGCCTTTCGACCGGCGGATCCCTCTAGGTGGCATGATTAGCTGACAGTTTATCCCAGCCGCCCTCATAGTTACTATTTATCCCGATGACAAGCGAAAAGTAACGCAATTAGACCGTTATGGTATTACGGACGTCCGGTCTAATTTTTAGTATACTTATCATAAACTAAACAATAGAATAAAAATCGAATATACATCTAAACAAATTTGTTGTTGTATAGGCGATACAATGAATTTTGATGCACTGCAAGATATATATGTAATTTCAAAAAGGTTGCTAAATAAAACAAAAGTTCCATGTGTTGGTTTCCAAAGTTAGGTTAGAAAATAGAAATGGTTACTGGCTTCTAATAATATGGCAATAATTAAAAAAACTGTCATACATTTCAATAAATAAAATAGAAAAATTCAAAAATTCAAAAAAGTTGCCACATGTTATTCAAAAGTTGCTTTGGAGTCAAATATTTGCTTTGGAAATTCACCAATATGTATAAGTACAATAGTTTTGCATTTTTCTTTTCTTGGTATGTGTTTTATTGTTACAAAAAACAACAACAATAATTTATGGTTTGGTTAATAATTATTAGTAAGACATTCAAATAAATCAAGTTATATAGTTTGACGATCAACAAATTATTATAATAATTAATTTTAATACTAAATAATGATTATCAACAGTTTAATCATATTAAGTAATTCAAATTTCAAGTAAAGAGAGAGGTTATTTGTATTTTTTGTGTCATTTATGATATGTCAAACGTTAAACAAATTATTCTTTAAACAATTTAAATTAACAATTACAAAAAAACTTAAAGCAGAAGCATCTAAACATTAAACATTAACTTTAATTTTACACTCAGAAATAATTTATAATTTTTTTTATGGATAATGATACTTTGATAACATTTTTTTTACAATATTTTAACATTATTTACGTGTCATTTTGTGATTGATTCAAAATTACTCCATAATCAATAATAATAATTATAAATACCAACATAGACCAATCACATAATCATATCTAAATAGTATAAAAATATTATAAAAAAAATATTATCTCAATAATTTTGGTCACTTTTGTAGATCTGTACTTATGCTTTAATGGTATAAGTTTGCTGATAGCTGGAACTAGGACTCTGGAAAGAACATAAACTATGTTAATCAATGACTCTTGTCAATCACGTTCACAACACTGCTTCTTTTACTTTTCTTCGATCATGACACCAAACTCCTTTTAAACATTATGTAATTTAAATTAATTCAGACAAATTTATTATATTACTTTAACTTTTGAATTATTTTTTATAAAGATTAAGTTTTTGTTTTTTAATTGTGTTGATACTTAAAAATTATATTTTTAATTTTTTTAATCCAATTGATTCAATCCAATCTTACGCTCACTCGACGGTAGATTGAATTGAATTAAGTTTAATATAAGAAAAAAAAAATTAAAAACACAGCTCAATCCAACTCTGTTCAAATCTGACTACACACTCTTAACAAAAATAAAAGTAACAAGTGATAACGATTTATGTTTTTTTTTATTTTTTGTTTTCTTTTTGTTTAGAGAGATACACTTATTATTTTTTTTTGTCATATATTGTAATTTTTAATTAAATAATAATACACAATATCTTAATTAAATTGTTTTTTAGTTATTTTTTAAAAAAATTTTGAAAATCCAGAATTAGTTTTGGGTCAGGTTATGTTTCTTCTTGGGCCTGTATGAAAGGGAGAATGAAACAACAAATGAATAAATTAAAATAAATTTCTTTATTAATCTGCTAAACCATGCATGGTTCTCCAATGAAGAAACAAAAAATGAAGAGAGAGAGAGAGAGAGAGAGAGAGAATGATAGGTATTTATATTAAAAGGAAATTAATTAAGGATGTGATTAGATTAGAGACCCCTCTTAAGCATTTGCTCGTAATTCTCGATGGATTGGAGCCTCTGGATGAGGAGTTGCTTTCTGAAGTTCTTGATGAAGGCATCAGCACTGACATTAATGTCTTCAACGCCTTTCTTCGTCTTCTCACTCGCCTCTGTCACCTTTTCTGATCTCCTCTTGCTGCTCTCTCCCTCTTCTGATGAACCCTGCAACTCGCTCTTTCTAATTCTTCCTTCCATCTCCAACTTCAGATCTCTCAATTGAAACAGACTTCGTGATGCTGTTCTTGTTCTGCAATGAAATGGTGCTTCAGGAGCAGCATGGTATTTATAGATAAACCATTGGTTTTACCTTGAAACCAAATTTAATAGAGTGTGGGAAGCAAAAAAGGTGCGTGAAAGGAGAATATCTAGCTGGTTCTATATGCTAAGCGTAGTAAGAGCACGTGACGTCAACCCCAAGAATAATTCTTTTTATGTTATTTGTAACGGAAGATTTGATTGTTTGGATGAAGAGTTGACCGAAGATTAGTTAGGAATCCAGATACGAGTTCAAATTTTATATTGGATAGAAATGAAAAAATAGAGTA